TGTATGAATAATAATTAGCAGTACAATAAAATAAAAAGACTCCAAGGAACTACGACAACCAAGAAGCTCTATCTTGAATCCTTGCGATCACACTTTAACTTTGTCCGAGTCCGATATCTCCAACACCTGGCTCTACACAAAAATGTGCAGAAGTGTAGTATGAGTACACCACGGTCGGTACCCAGTAAGTATCAAGACTAACCTCAGTGGAGTAGAGACGAGGTACAGTCAAGACACTCGCGAGTCTAATAACTTGTGCAATATAGTATACAAAATAATAGAAAACAAATAACAATAAGGGCAACACAAACCAACCAGTGATATGCCCGGCATGGTAACAAGAACACTATTAATATTGCTCAACAAACAATAAATACAAGTACACCCAATTAAATCAAGTTCTTCAAATAAATATCTTTCACATATAATTCTTCCAAATAACTCTCTTTCAAATATAATTTCTCCAAATTAATATCTTTCAAATATAATTCTTTCAATAAATCATTTTCAAATATAATTTTCTCAAATAAATATCTTTCAAATACAATTCCTTTTAATACTACTTTTTTTGAAAAAAACTCCTTCCAAATAAATATTTGAATATAATTCTTTCAATTAAAAGTCACCATGTGACACCTCATTTTATAGTCATAAAAATACGGGTCTCAGCCCTTTTTATATTTTCACGGCACTTCATGCCCATAATTAAATCATCATATTTCCTCGACACCTCGTGCCCATTTTTCATATCACATCTGTACGGACAGTTCACGTGCCAATAATAAAACCATCATATTTTCCCCGGCACTTTGTGCCCACGTTTGATATCTCAACTGCACGGACAATTCACGTGCCAATATCATCATTACTTACTCACAGCACCTCGTGCCCACATTTCTTTTCATAATCCGCTTGGCAATAGCCGCATGCTCCCAATTTCAACATAAATCATACTATTATCAATTTACAAACAACAAGACAAATTGCACAAGGAAAATCACAACATCACATAAAAATCACCAATGCAACCCCTCCATATCATCACATATCATCCATGATAATAGCCACCCTTATCTCTCTTATAACCATCCATATCACTCCTATAATAGCCTTTATTATCCCTCCGCCCTGATAATATCAATAGCCACCCTTATCGCTCCTATAGCAACCCTTATCTCTCATATAGCCACCTTTATCTCTCATATAGCCACCTTATTGCTCCGCCAAGACAATATCACAACACACATAACACCAGTGAAATGCCACCCTTATACCCAGATAATATCAACAGTGAAATGACACCCTTATGTCCTCAAAATAATAACTCAAATAACACAATAATTTACACAGAATATTATCACGGTAACATAACAAAATCAATTCATATCACGATTTGCCCAATGGCCACAACCAATTCCAAAGATATAATAAAATTAATAAATTTCACAATAAATAGCCCAAGGCTCCACACAATGTGTATAAAATCTCAAAAACAATCAACAAAGATAGAAATTAATCAACATAGGGCAACGCCTTCATTAATCCAAATGTTTGATAATTATATTAACACTTCTTCTTAAGCTTGTTTTAATTAATTATTTGCTTAGGGAACATTCATAATGAAATTAAATTCATAAAAATATCAAACCATCGAACTCACGGAATTCACATAAATATACAAGTAATAATTACATCGAATTGTCATATAAAAACAAGTTCAATAGATGTGATTCGAGGCATGGCAATTAGATGATTAAATATATGCCAACAATTATCCAATTTACTACACAATATGCTCAAGACTTTAACTCAATAAATTTTCTACATATAAGACCGGGTACGTACTCGTCACCTCGCGTACACGGCTTTTTACATTTCACAAATGGTACATAAGACTCGATGCCTAAGGGGTAATTCTCTCACTCGAGGTTAGGCAAGATACTTACCTTTTTGAAATTATGTCGATATTCCAAAATTATCTTCTTGCTTGAATTGACCTCCGGACCGCTCAAATCTATCCAAATTAATTGTATAACTTCATTAAAATTCATTGAAAATAATTTCGGATAATAATACGCCGACTTAAAAATTTATTCAAAAAAGTCAACAAAAGTCAACGCAGGGCCCACCTCTCGGAACCCGACATAATTTTTATGAAATTCGAACACTCATTCCGATATGAGTTCAACCATACCAATTTTATCAAATTCCGATAACAACTCAACCTCCAAATCTTAAATTAAACCAAGAGGGTTTTCATAATTTTCTAACTTAATTCAACGATTAAATGTTAAAAACAACCATGAATTAGGGTAATTTAACCAATATTGAGTTAAGAAAACTTACCCCGTTGTTTTCCTTGAAAAACTCTCGAAAATCGCCTCTTCCCGAGCTCCAATCAGACAAAAATGGAAAATGGGACGAAATCCCAATTTTAGAACTTAAACGCACTGCCCAGGCTTTTACTCTACGTGATCGCGAACATTCCCACGCGATCGCGAAGAATAGTTTTCCACTGCCCAGATTTAACCTTACGCGATCGCGAACTTTCCCTCGCGATCGCGATGTACAACATCACAGACCTACGCGATCGCGGACTCGTCCACGTAATCGCGAAGCACAAAATGCGTGACTTCTATTTCCGCTCCACTTACTCTATGCGATTGCGACCTTCTTCACACATCCTTTTTCACACATTCGCGAGTCACAAAATCTCAGAGCTACGCGATCGCGTAGAACAAAACTCAGCATCCCCTCAGTTAACCCTACGCGATCGCATAGAACAAAACTCCACTGCCCAACTAAGCCTAAGCGATCACATACACATTCACGCGATCGCGTAGAAGGAAAACAAAATCAGATATCAGAAAATTCCAGCAATTGTTCAAATCTAATTTTTTTGATCCGTTAACCATCATCTGAAACTCACCTGAGCCCTTTGGGACCTCAACCAAAAATATCAACAAGTCCTAAAACATCATACGAGCTTAATCGAACCCTCAAGTTACCTCAAACAACACTAAAACCACGAATCATACCACAATTCAAGCCTAATGAACTTTGAAACTTTCAATTTCTACAAATAACGCTGAAACCTATCAAATCACGTACGATTGACCTCAAATTTTGCACACAAGTCATAAATGACGTAATGGAGCTATTCCAATTTTCAGAATCGAAATCCGACATCGTTATAGAAAATTCAACCTTCCGTCGGACTTTCCAAAAAATTTCTATTTTCAACTTTCGCCAAAATGCGTTGAAATGTCCTACAAACTTCCAAATCCAAATCCGAATATACGCCTAAGTTTGAAATTATCATACGAAACTATTTTCGTCATCGAAATTTTATTTCGGGGTCGTTTTCTCAAAAGTCAACTATCTGGTCAATTCTTTCCATTTAATCTTCTGAATAAGAATTGTTCTTTTAATTAAATTCCAAATCTTCCAAAAATCAAACTCGACCATACCCGCGGGTCATAATACATATTACGAAGTTGCTCGGGACCTTAAGTCGCTGAACAAGGCATTAATTCTTAAAACGACAAGTCGGGTCGTTACAATAATTATTATTTCATATGTGACATGAAAATGAAATAAAAGTATTTTTGGATTTTGAAATTGAAAAAGATTATTTGGAAGTAGCATAATATTCATCAAAAGTATTTGGGACCAGCATTTTGTTTTCTTTTTGGGACCAGTAGACTGATGCCAATTTCAGTTCCGAAAACAAAATTGTTTCAATTATTAAGTTGCTTAATAGTTTACTAATCTTTAATCATCTCATGATCATGATCGTACGTACAGACTATGATTATATTTTCTGTCCATTACTTTATCAAAGGACATCCGTACAATATAAATTAGCATCAATAAATCAACAAAGGCCAAAGAGTGTTTTACAAAAGTTCGATTTGCACTGAAAACGAAAGAACTAGAATCTCATCAGCAGCTAGAAAGCAAAACACATTTCTGATCCTATTCTTGGCTTTATTTGTTGATTGATATGTAATTCTAATCAATCATTTATGATTAGTATATACGTAAGAAACAATAAATTAAACAGAAGGCTACGACTTTGCATCAGCGGCGTCTAACATGATAATTTTAGCTTTATAAAAGGATATAATAAGTACGTGTTATATTATATTGTCATTGTAATTTAACCTACATGTTAGTATTATTTTTATCATGTTGCCAACTAATTTTATCTCTAAAATATATGCTTATCTTAGATATTTTTATGTAATTACCTTATGAGTTGTGTAAACTTTTTATTACACGATCATTGCATATAACTTAAGGGTAGGCTAGAGTCTTGGAGCAACGGTAAAGTTATCTCCGTGCGACCTATAAGTAGTGGTGGTAAAATGGTTAAAAGAAAATAGTTATCCACCCATATTATCTATTAAAAATGGGTTGGATAATCAACTTCTTAAAAACGGGTCAAATATAGATAAGAACTATATTATCCACTTAGAAAATGGATAATCAATGAATTACTAATGAGTTTAACTTTTACATTTGTAAAGCCTCAAATTGGGGGTTCCTCAAGTTTGGGAGACTAGAAATTCTTTCAAAAGTAATCATATTGAAGAAGACATGGATAATATGGATATCGATATTATCCATCGGTTAACCCGTATTTTATCTGTATTAAATATGAGTCGGGTCAGATAATTTATCTATTTTTTACATTACCCATTTTCGACCCGTTCATATCTAACTCGACCTGCCCGTTTGCCACCCCTACCAATAAGTCACGAGTTCGAGCCCTGGAAGTAGCCACTAATGCTTGCATTAAGGTAGGTTGTCTACATCACACCCCTTGAGGTACTGTCCTTCCCTGAAACCTACGAATGTGGGATGCTTTGTACACTATACTGTGCCTACCAGTACATATAACTTAAACTCCATTTCTAAATCAAGGTGGGTCCATAAAAATATAGCATGGCTAGTTTCATAAATATAGAACTTCTATTAATTATCTTTCCATTATATATACATCAATTTGAGTTTATGGTTCTTAAGTTCATCAAATGGAAGAAGTAAAGCTCCATGGAACTTCTTATAATTTGTTCACTTATAGGGTTATTTGGGCTCTAAAGCTAAAGGGAATACCTTTTGACTACATAGAAGAGGAACATTCTGATAAATGTCCTTTAGTTTTGAAATATAATCCAGCTTTTAAGAGATTTCCAGTGCTTTTTCATGGTAAAAAAGCACTTTCTGAATCCATGGTTATTCTTGAATATATTGAAGATACTTGGCCTCAAAATCCACTTCTTCCCATTGATCCCATTGATAGAGCTATGTCAAGATTTTGGGTTAAATTTGCTGGAGATAAGGTATTTTTTTTTACTATAGCACTTACACAATTTAGTCAAACAACTTAACCCTCAATAACAACAACAACAACAACCTCAGTGTAATCCCACAAGTAGAGTTTGCGGGTAGTGTGTACGCAGTCCTTACCCTACCTTGAGAAGGTAAAAGACTGTTTCCGGCTAGACCGTGGGCTCAGGGAGGGTCTCACCTAAATTTAATTGTGCCTTACTGCCTTCTATTTGGAGTTTCAATGTTCTTTCAAAATGCTAACATTCTTTAAGTGCTTTAAAAAAAATCGATGATCTTATTCCCAAATTATTTCTTTTTCTTCTTCTTTTTTTGGTTTTCAATATTTAGAAGACATTTTTTTCGCACAAACTTCTTTATTTTCAAAAAATGTTGTTGGGAGAGTTGTCCAAATTGGTTAAATTTCACGGATAGTGGCCGGTTCAGCTTTTCATGATCGGCTTATTGCACCAAAATCATAAAACTAATTTGTAATGAAAAAGCAACTCAACTATGCCAAATATATCAAAGAAAACAAAAAGAGCTGAAAAATATTAGTAAATCCCATCCCGAACACATGCAAGTTGCTACTTCAACAACGTAATTCACCTTACATAATATTCATGTGGTACACCGTTAAAAAAATGCCCGCTCTTTTTATCTTCCGTGATTATCCCGTTAAAATCTTAATGAAATTTGTTATTGTGATATAGGGACATTGTATTGGGACAATGTACTACACAAGTGGAGAAAAGCAAGAAAAGGCCATCAAAGAAACAATAGAAATGCTTACAATTATAGAGGAACAAGCTTTTGTTGGAGAAAAGAAATTTTTTGGTGGTGAAAAAATTGGAATTTTGGACATTGCTTTTGGTATAATTCCTCATTGGCTTGAAGTAATTGAAGATATTGTGGGAGTGAAATTGTTGAAACCTCACTCATTTCCTCGTTTGCTCAATTGGGTTCAGAATTTCAAAGAAGAAACAGTCATTAAAGAGAATCTCCCTAATCGTGATGACATGTTTGTGTTTTTAAAAAATCAAAGAGAGATGCTATTGTCATCTTCTTGAGCTTTTACTTTGTTTACTTCTGTTTGATAACTATTGTAAATACTTCTTTTTACTTCTCATGTGT